TTGCCATACTTCGAGAAGATTGCCTCCACATCAGATTTCTTTACAAGAGTGTTGAGATTTCCAATGAACACATGGGAGTTCATGGAGTGTGGATCTGTCTTGTTGGTAACATTGCTAGTCATTGTGTTTGATGATAAGGTTGCTGACAAAGACAAAAACCAGGAGACGGATGAGAGAAGAGATTCGATTCCGAATTTCCTGCTCCCAGGTTCTATGTGAAGTCGACTGCTGCCCGAGGTCAGCAACACGGCCGCAACTGTTCAGTCTTCATCTCTTCACAAAAAAAAATTAATTCTGCAGATTTCTGCCTTAATTTGTTATCACTTGGAGATAAGAGAACTTATCGAGCTTTATCCTCTGTGTACTTTATGAAGATAGTAACAAGCAGTCTCAGAAGGAAGAAACGTTAAGAATTTGGTTTATACAACTAGATAGCTGATACCCTGGCAACTGAAATGGAGTTGGAACAAGAAAGGGGTGTGAGTTATGATTTAAATTTGAGATAACCTCAACTTGCTTTTGGGAGTGAGCATTTGCTGATATCCAGAAATTCACATATGCATCTCCCTTCTTTTCAGCCTGTTTCCCTTGGATGCTTTCCTCTTTCAACATGGCCCTAGGACCTTGTGAAAGCCTCACATATTTGCCTAAATTCATAGCTAATTTATAGCTCACCAGGTTGTAAAACCCTAGAAGCAGAGATTAGATCCATTAATCTTTGTTTTCCTTGCAATACTGAGCACAAGAGGACATTTATTAAAGTGAGAAGCCTACTGTTCTTAATTCTAATACCTAGATGAACCTTCGCCATTCCTAGCATTTCACCAATATGGTAAATTCACACTTGGGGAGGGTACAGTAAAAGCATAAACTCAGATTGATACTGATCTTAACGAACTCCCAAAGGTTTTTATTTGTTTCTGGATCCACCTGTATGTACCAAGCCAAAACTTTGGAAGGGAAGGCTTATCTTTGCTCAGTTTTATATTTTGCATAAATTTCAGAAAACTACAAGTGAAAGAAATTCAGTGTTTGCTCCAATGGATTCTCTATTGATATATATCTTTGTTTCTACATGTTCTCTATTTTACATATTAAGATTACATTAGACCTCAGTTCTTCAATGTGTCCAAAAATGAAGCTACATGCTGGAATCAAGAAAGACAAGAGGCTTCTGAAAACTATTTGTTAAGGAGGATGAATTTTCAATATGTAGCAAATTCTACTTCAGAAGTATCAGACAGAATTATCATAGCCTTTGTTTATTAAGTCTCAAATGTTTTAAGAAGTTGATTTCCAAATCAATGGTTATGGTCAACTAAAAAATATCACTTCTTCACTTTTTTTCTGACTTAAAATATATTTTTAATTTTTTTCTTTTTTGTGGTACTGAAGATTGCACCAAAAGGCTCAAGAATGTTTGGTAAGCACTGTATAAATGAGTCACAACCTCTATCTCATGACATAAATATTCACTTTCTAGTTAGCAGCAGAAAATAATACATACTATGTGAAACCAATCTGAGAATTAGTAGTTAGATAGCAGTCACAGAAAACTTTTCTGTATCTATGTATGTGACACTGTTCATCACTTAATTCTTCCCACACAGGGCAAGGTAATTAAGGTTCCTTAAACTTTTTAGAATGGGTATCAATTACATCAGAAGAGAATGGTCATGTCATTTAAAGGTGGCTCATCGCTCAGCACTTTGTTCATGTAAAAAATTGACCGGGCTGGAGATTTAGCTCAGTGGCACTGCGCCTGCCTCTCAAGCGCAAGGTCCTAAGTTTGATCCCCAGTACCAAAACCAAAAGAACATATAAAAAATTGACTATTTAACTCCAGTATAAATGTTTAACATTTAAATGCTTGTGCATTCTTTTTTTTCTCCCAGTACCGGGGATCGAACTCAGGACCTTGCACTTGCCAGGCAGGCACAGTGCCACTGAGCTACATCCCCAGCCCAATTTTCATAGGAAGGATTTCTAGGAATACAAAGGCAAATTGCTAACAATTTCCCTCAGCAAAAAGGATTCAGTCCAGAAGTGGTAGTCTAACCTGGTATGACACCGCAGAAAACACAAAGAAACTGAATTATGCATTCAATGGTGAGTATACGTGTGGCCTCAAATGCCTCTGTAGCCGCCCTTGGGTTCTAAAAAGCAGACTATGTTGAAGTAAAAAACCGTCTTGACTTAGGCTCCAAACTTAAGCAAGAAGGAGAAAAAAGGTTTTACTTTTAAAATTAGCAGTAATGGTATCTGCACTGTAAGTTGATTTATGGTGGGTGTTTCCTATAATGAGGGATACACTAACAGGAAGATGGAGTCTAGTATTTAGGGAAGGGAAAGATGTAGGAGTATCTGAAAATATGCTTGCATTGTAAATCTCAACCACTGTGCTGTTAATTACATACACCTTTCTCCACTGGCACAGGTTATTATTTTAAAAGTTGTCATTCGTCCTCATCATGAGGCTCTTCTGTTGTTCCAATGAGTGTATTTACTTGGTCAATACTATCCTCTTTGGAAAACAGGGAAAGACAGAATCTAACTGCTTTATTCCACTTGACTATTCAGGCAGCTAAATCTAGCAAAGTCAAGAAAATTGAGGGGCTGGGGATTAGCTCAGTGGCACCAGCCTGCCTCATAAGCACAAGGTACTGAGTTTGATCCCTGGTACCAAAGGGAAAAAAAAAAAGAAAATTGAGAACAGCTAGCACAGAAGTAAATCATCCCGCCACATCTTGGATTGCACAGACAAGATATTTCTAACCAGGCTACTGGAAAGAATATTTCTCATACATCATGCTGATTTCTAATACAATCAACATTAAGAAGCATTAACAATGCTTTATTAGGAACTGGCTCTTATAAAACCCAGTAGGTTATGCAATTTTTTAATCTTACTGAGGGAACAATATATTCCTGCTTAAAAACAGCAATGCAATATATTAATTTATTAAAAGTAGCTATGCATACAAACCCACAAACTATGTTGCACCAGGCTATTAAATCACTGTGCTCTTTCAATTTGACTTGAGTAAGAACAGCCTACAAAATTAGTAAAGCTCTGAGTGTGTCTGCAAATGATTGACATGTAGGCTGCAAACTGAGGAGGAAAGACCCATCCTAGATGTGGGCGGCACCAACCAATAGACTTGTAGTCTGGAGGGAATTAAAAGGGAAAGAAGGGGTTCCACCGTTCCCAGCACAGAAGTAGGGGCATCCGGGCCACCATTCCACTGCTCCCAGCACAGAGGAAGGGGCTTCCAGGCCACCATACCACCGCTCCCAGCACAGAGGTAGGGTCTTCCGGGGTGCTGTACCACCACTCCCAGCACAGAGGAAGGGGCTTCCGGGCTGCCATTCCACCAGTCCCAGGGCAGAGGAAGGGACTTCTGGGCTGCTGTTCCACCACTCCTAGCACAGAGGAAGGGGCTTCTGGGCCGCTGTTAAACCGCTCCCAGTGCAGAGGTGGTGAGCTGCATGGGCACCAACATCCACCGCCCCCCGTGTCGAAATGAGAAGATATGTAAACAAGTCTCAAAACTAGACTTCCAGATCACCTACAGCAACCCCAAAGGGAAATGTGATGAAATACTTTGATACTCAACCACCTGGACTCCCTGAACTGGCAACAAAAGAGGATCTGAAAAAAATGAAATCAGAAATAATTCCCCAGGTAACAGCAGAAATTGTGCTAATAGTGCAAGACATGATTAATAAATCTAGACAGGAGCTGAGGAGCATGATGGAATCCCAACATTGGAAACAAATGGAATCCATAAAACAGATACAGATTTCCAGGAGATTAAAAACTCCATTGAAAGTCTATGCAGCAGAATGAGCCAATGTGAGGACAGAATTTCAGATATAGAAGATAAGATTGCAATTAGTGACCAGGAAAAGAAAAATTGCTTCAAAATTGTAAGGGAACACAAGAAATCAATCCAGCAGCTGCTAGATGATGTAAAGAAGAATAACATAAGACTGATTGGAGTCAATGAAGAAACAGGAGGAGAGTGCAGATGACATAAAAAAACTGTTCACAGAAGTGATGGCAGAAAACTTCCCAAGCAGGGGAAAAGAACTTGACATACAGATAAGTGAGGCATATAGGACTCCAACTAGCCTTGATCAAAAAAATCTACACATAGGCATATAATAGTTAGGATTCCAGAAACTCAACAGAAGAACAAAGTTCTACAAGCAGTGAGAGAAAAGAAACAAATCACATACAAAGGAAAGCCCATCAGAATCACAGCAGACTTCTCAATGCAAACCCTCAAGGCAAGAAGAGCTTGAGGTGATGTATTCCAAGCCCTAAAGGAAATCAGCCTCCAACCCAGATTAATGTACCCTGCAAAACTATCTTTCAAAAGGGAAAGAAGGAAGTCTTCCTCTTTTTTCCCTTTGGAGGCACTCTGGTCTTTGCAATTGCCTTGGGACATCTCTCTCCAGTGCCTTCAGGCTTCCCATGAAGACTTCCAGCTCAGACCCTTTTGCTTTCCCTACATGGACCTGCACAGGACTATGCAGTGAGCTCCAGGCCTTTGACCTTCAACTGGATACTCTCGCCCTCCAGTGGGCAGATGGCCATTTTGCATTCTTCCATATCTGATTCCAGAAATGGCTACTGGAACTCTTCCACTTCCAGTCCCGTTAACCTACTTTGTGAATTCTTAATATAATCATAATATTGCATGCTATGGTTTGGAAATGATTTGGGTATCCCCCCCACACCAAAAAGGTTATGTGTTGGAAGCCTGGTCTCGGTGTTGCAATTTTAAGAGGTGGTTGCACTTTGAAGAGGTAGTGGCTCGTGCAATTTAGGTCACTGGGGGCACTCCCCTTGGAAATGATTAAAGCAAGTCTCATGAGAGCAGGTTGTTGTAAAAGGAGGAAGCCTGGTCCGTGGATTGCTCTCTCTAGTTCCATAGCCCCTTATGTTACCTCCCTCTCTGGCACATTCTCCTACCACAATGCCATTCACCATGTGACACAGCCAAAAGGTCCTTTATTAGACTAAGCCAAAGCCAGCACTCTACCTTTGAACTTCCAGAACTGTGAGCTAAATAAACACCTTTTCTTTGCAAAATAATCAACCTCATGTATTTCGTTACAGTAAAAGAAAACTAATACAATGCATACATGCACTTCACATAGAAATCTAGATTTGTATAACACAAATTAGAGAATGAGTGAATGTTCTTAATTTTATAAAAAAGCTCACCCAAAACTCACTTTTTACATATTAACCTCCTCTATTGGTTTTAGCATGATTCAGCTGATTCAGTTGATTACTGAATTTTTGGACTACAGGAGTTGAGTGTTCTGGGGAATACTTGTAAATTTTCTAAACTCAACTGTGTTCCCAGAACCATACATTAAAAAGAAAGAAGAGCTACAGAAATCCCCAAATACTTAACCTCAGTACCAATCACCTCATTCTCTTATCAGTTGTAAATAGGATGTTCCTATGTTTTTAACCTTTCTCCAACATTCTTTGGGAATGAATTAGAAATGGAATTGCCTAGGGAGGGTGGGAAATCTAACAAACTGGTTCATCTAGAGTTATTATCTGAAACTTATTTAGTTACTATCAAAACACTGAAACTTCAACTTTTCAAGTGAAAACTTGTAAGTGATGTTAATTTGGCTGCCATTTTAATATCAGAAGGACTCTAACCTAGGGTGCCGAGTTGCTAGAGCACCTGAAATAGAAATGAAGGAATTTTAAAGTGTCATTAAAAAAAAATTTCTGTCATTTGAGAGTCAAACCATTAGAAATGAAGGTAGGGAGTGTCTGGATTTAAAGATAAAGGTCTTCAACTGGAGGGGGTAAAGCATTTGCTAGCATGCCCAAAGCCCTGGGTTTAATCCCCAGATCCACCAAAGAAAAAAGAAAGGGTCTTATCAAAAGGTAAAAAATTTAAAAATAAGGTGGAGAGGTCAAGTATTTAATGCTGAATGAGAAATGTGATGTTCAATGTCACACAAAGACTGCAGGGAGCTAGCAGAAAAGGAGGAGTGACGTGATGGGGTGTATGGCACTGAAAATGCTGTCTTTCAGTTCCAGCCAAATGTACTTCCATGAAGGAATATAGGTCCAGTGCTGTAAATCTCACTTTTCAATCAGATAATTACAATAAAACTTTTTATTCTTTTCTCCCCCAGTGCTGGGGATTGGGCCCAAGGCCTTCTGTATATACTAGACAAGAGCTATACCCTTATCCTAAAACTTTATTTTTAAATATGAATTATTTTATCACAAAAAAAAATTTTAAAGAAAAACATTCATGGTTAGTAACAGGAGTAAAAAGAATCTAAGGAAGGTTGCAATATGTGGACTAATCTATGTTCTGGACTAGTATTAACTTCATACTACTTGGCATAAATATTTTAAAATGAAATGCTTAGCATTTCCTAGGAGATCCAACAATATAAACATTAGCTACCTCCTAGAAATAGACTAAGGACCTAGAAATGGAATTTGGAGTGGTAATGGGAAAAGTGGACAGAAAGACAATGTGGAACTATACAAACATTAGAGGGGTTAAGACCTCCATTACCTTGTGTCAGGACTTAACACAGTTAAATGTTATTAGTTGGTTTGTTTTTTTTCCTAAATTTGAATGCCAGAATTGGCCAAGTTATATTGCAGGATGGGAAACTATTCATTGATGAAAGTATGGTTTCTGAATCTTATTACTATATATTACAATGGTAGGGGAGTACCATCATATCTGTTTAGTAACTAGAAAAATTTTGAGAAAAGTGACAATGAAGACAGTAATGACCAAAATGAAATACGATCACCAGGTAGATGCAATCTTTTCTTTAGAAATGACATGCTAATATCAGTAGCTACTAAGGATGTAACCCTACTGATGATGAGCAAAGTGAAATTTGACTGGCATAGTAAAAAAAATCAATTTGCAAGTTTGACTGGTTCACTATGAAAAAGATCATTATTCCCTTTCTTTTCTCACCTGTGACTCAAACAAAACAAATACCTGACTTACCTGAACAATATATTTTTTTAAAAATACAAAAGATGTATCACTTTTAGATAACCTTAAAGTTCCATCTGATATGCTCAGGTTTACCTAAATATATCTACATTTTCTAAATCTTAGAAGACAAAACACAAGCCCATAGGGTGTGTGGCCATCACAGGCCAATCATTTAACTTTGACTATGGTAGTGGCTGCTGTGAGGTAGGTGGGTCTCTGACCTACACTTCGAGCTCTCAGCTTATAACAATTCCCATGAGGAAATCTTCATCTTTTGTTCAAAGTGCTTGAACAAAACTCACCTCTGAACTAACAGAGATGTTAACAGATGCGTGGCACAAAGGGGATAGACAAAGCAGTTCTTGTATAGTCTCTCAGGCTGTTAGTCATCTAGACACAAGTGAGTCAGCATCCACAGTATTGAGAAGGTAGAGTTCAGGCTGAGCTGTCAATCCCAGGTGATACTGAGGAAAAACAGATAGAAGAGCGTTAGATTGATTTTCATGTAGGTAAATACTGAAATGGACACTTAAAACACCTATAAGTAGCATATTAATTAGGCTATTTTCAGTATCGCTATATTTGTATTTCAGAAAAGTGGCTTAGAGATATTTGGTTTCTAATGTTTAAACTAGGAACTGGCAGCCAGGCGTGGTGGTGCATGCCTATGATTTCAGCACTTGAGAAGCTGACGGAGGATCACCAAGAATTTGAGGCTAGCTGGGGCTACATAATGAGTTTAAGACCAGCTACACTATATAGAAAGACCCTGTCTGAAACAAAAATAATAATGAAATAAAATAACAGGAACTGAGATAGTTAAAGGTTGAATTGTGTCAAATGCCCTCAGTAAAATTAGCCCTCAGACTATCCTTAGGCTTCAGGATGGGACTTCAGGTCAGGATAACATGGGCAAACGTGCACTGAGTGCTTTTGTATTTTAGGACTGTGTACTGGAAATAAGATTTTAAATGGTTTAAATTCTGATCCTTGTAATCCTGGTCCCATTGGCACTGAGCAGAAAAAAAAACCTTCTCACTAAAACAACAACAAAAAATGTTCCAAGAGGGAGGTGACCTATGGGTGTCAAGTATTTGCTGCCATATTTCAAAATCACCTCACATGCTTATAAAACTCATCCCCATATACCCCTCCTAGAAACCTGAATCCAGATGGTTGGTGTTGGGGTCTATGAAACTGTACCTTTTTATGTTTTTCCTCTCCCTTGAATACAACTTGGGAGAACCACTGATTCTCATCTTAGCCCTTCTGTTATCATGCAGGGCCCAGGCACATTATTGCCACCTAGTTACCATCAACCTGTAAGTTAATGCAGAAAAGCAATCTATAAAAAGAATAGCCCTATTATAGTGTGGTGGAAATGCATGTAGTTGGGCTCAAGCCTAAGCTTTATTCCTTCCTATGACCTATCCTTTTAGAAGCCTACGCCATTGAAATGTAAAATGGGAATTCCTGCATTTGAAAAATACCAGGGACACTAATATACTATCTCATGTTAGTTTCCAATAATATATATTTTAATAACACATAACAAATGACCTTGTACAACCCCATGGAATGTTGTGATGACTGTGTGAAGATAACATAGATCAGAAGGTGCCCAGGGTCAAACCACCCCCAACCAGTGGGCAGGGAAGATATTGAGTGACACTGGCTTTAAGGCAGGGAAATAGCTCTTCAGACCAACTTGCTTCTACATTTAAGGTCTTAAATTGCAGGATTTAGTGATTAATAGTAACTGTCAGACACACTGACAATTCATTGAAGCTATTCACAAGTAAGCAAAGATAAACATTTCCTCATTACAGAGCAAAGAAGGGCTGCATTACTAGTTCCATGAGGCCCATATAGTGTATCACTTAAAAGATGTCTTAGTAGGTAGAACTCCCTCATTGGAAGTTTGTCATGTGGTTCTAAGACATAAAGAAATGGGACTAATTGGCACACAACAGGCTAAAGCGCTCTCAGGGGCAGAAGGGTAATGCAAATGAGTAAACCCATTATTACTTCTTAGCTATTGCCGGCGTGGAAGCATAGAGGATTCTTCCCATTTTCTAAGCCTGGCAAAAGTATCCAAACTTTAAAAATCTAGCACATGCCAGTGTCTACAGTTGGCAATTTCTGAGCTAAAACACACTCTAACACTAACAAAGTGCCAAGCAAAAAGTCTGATGTTGGTCTTGCTGGTGTCACTACACTTAGTGCTTTATCCAGCATGAATGGTGTGTTATATATTATACAGGATAGCTTGGGAATGAACACGTGGGCTCTGGCAATAAGCTACTCAGGTTCAAATGCCAGATGCCCATTTACTAGCAATGCGTTATGGGTGAGTTACTTTTGGCCTTTCAGTTGCCTCATCTACACAGAGGCTGAGCCTCTTGTTTTGAGGACTGAATGAGATCACACAAGTACTCAGACCACAACTTGCAGATAGTAATGAGTTAGCCATTCTTACATTCATAAGCTGAGGTGTTAGGAGGTGCTGGTATCCTGAGATTCATTGGTTCTATTGTTCAAGAAGCAGAAGGCATTGCAAAAGGCCATTAAATGTTTAAAGTAAGAACCTTCAAATTATTTTGCATTATATTTTAGTTGTGAAACTAAACCAGAAATAAGAACAGACAGGTAAATGAAGTCAACATGGAGAACTATGGGATTACTTACAATACTCAGTTCCTGTGAGACAGGCAAAGAAAATTTGCAACAAAAGGTAAAATGAAGTCCTTGTGACACTCTTGGGAAAAGTCAAGTGCTTAAATTTTCCTGTCGTGTGTGGTGACAGGGCTGGTAGTTTACTGTGCTTGAGCTTTGCCTTTGTTTTTAATACAGTGTGTCAATATTTCCATTTGTTTTTAATTTAAGAGATTTTGGTTCCTTTCTTTAAATACTCAATATTTATTGGCAACAAATACAGAATGTAAATGTCTGCTTGAATGGTGAAACAATATTACAGGTAGAGGAACATCCAGCTTACAGGAAAGGCAGGATAAAATTTCAAGTTTAAATGTGGTAATATGACCTTTAGCTACAGCAAAACTCTTTCTAAGGACTAAACACATTTATTTCTCTGTCTCTTAGAAGACAGAGGCACTAACTGTGTAGGGGCTTAGTGTGTGATTTTAGACGGTAACCAAAATTTTGGTATTTCAGTATCAAAGTTGTTGAAACCCTATTAACAAAGTATTTTCAAGCTTTAAAAAAATAAACCACGAAGCCAAATTGGAAAAAGAAAAAAATTTTAATTACATTATTAAGTGTACATATCAAAACAGTCACTAAAAGCTCAACTGTAACCATTCCTGACACCTCCTAGAGCAGGACTTCACAGGAGCCAAACTGAAGCTCTTCCCCACCCCACCTTTAATTTCCAGCAGCAGTGCAATTATTACATGTCACATTTAGACATGTGTTATGTACATACACCAACTCCCCATGATGAATGTAATCATTATGTATTGTACACATGTACTAATAAAAAAATTACATAGCACATTTAGGAGAACAAGGACCAATTTACAAAAATACAATGGTATATCATTAAACAGTACATACAAACATACGCCAAAATGCATTGCACATGCTGGCACTGGAAGACTTAAATTTCTACACATTGCTTTTTTGTACCCAGAGTACTGCTTGAAGTACACATTCTCACTGTAAGGACCATACAGAATATGGAAGTGTTATTCACACTGTAAAACAGTATTCTCATAGTATTGTGAAATTCCATTTACTTGGGAAGAAACTTTCCATCATTATAAGTCAAATATACTACTTCTAAAAGAATATAGCAGGTTTTACTTGAACTGTCTGTGAATCTGAGATACACTGGACCCACCCAGACCCAGGGTAAAGGTAAATGTAACAAGGTAACATTTTTACAAATGTTAATCTTTACAAGGAATTTGGTGGGGGGTAAATTTGGCCTTTAACTACTACAGGCAGATAAAATCTTAAGACATCAGTCCTTAATACTTTCAGTGTGTTTATGACCAGTTTAGTGAACACTGGTCATACAGGAGAGGGGTAGGTAGGAGGAATAGTTAGGGGATTATCATTTGTGATTTAGTGCTGTACTACTGAGGGGCTAAGAAAAATGTATGGTCAGTGAAAAACAACAGTTTACCATTAATGCTTTATAAAACACAATCTATCCAGTCTGCACTTCTGACTGTGTGCAAAATATCAGGAATAATGCCCCTGGGACTTAGCTGAGGAAGAAAGCACATTAGTGAACCAGGACATGAGAAGGAAAGCTCCAAAAATGAGAAGTCCTTCAGTGCCATTCCCATGACTGTTCTCACCAAGACAATGGCTATACGAGACTTTTGCTTATTTATCTGCACCAGATGAATGTGATTTGGGTTGAATCACACAGCCTCACACTCCACATAAACAAATGTCAGAAGTGGCTGGAGTAAGAGCAGCAGCTCCATGCTGAAGACACCCACTTCCTCCGACTCCAGAGCGCCACCATCTGGCCTCACAGTCCATCCCTCTGAGGGGACAGCTGTGCAGAGGTAGCTACTTCACCTTGCTGACAGACAATTTTGCAGTCTCAGTGACACCTACTGACTTGCTGAAAGAGATTGTACACTCCTAAGATTACCTGGCAAAGTCACTCCAGGCATGAAGCAGAGTGGTGCAACACAAAAACATGATTTTGGTGAGAGGTGGTTTTAGGAATAAAACAGATAGCTCTGCATCCCCTTTTCTTCATTCCCCAATCCCAAAGTCTTATGAGGACATCAGTTCATAAATACTATCTCATGTTTTACTATCACCACCCTCCCTCTTGGATGTGAACTTTCTGTAGTGTATATGCTTAGGAATACACATCACCACAAAAGCCCTCTACTAACACGTTATGAACCTCAGGACTCCCAAGAAAATCCTGGTAAGCTGCAGAAGGAAAATCTTTAGGAAGTGATTAGTTACCATTCCCTACAGGTGAGTTTTGCCATTTGTCCATTTTTATAACTTCATTATGCTTTCTCAACTCTCTTAATTTCCACTGAAAAATTTAAAGTGGAAATGAGGGAAAAGAATCCTGATTGAGGTAGATGTCTCTTAATTTTATATTTCATATGGATAAAATCACTGTAACTGAGATTTTAAAAAATAACTTTATGCTTAGCTTTTCATTTATATGAATTATTTTTCAGCCTTTTAAAATCCATTCTTTTGATAATTGAAACTTACATACTCATAATTACCACATCTATAATTTATATTATGAAAAGTGTATTACATTTTCCAGTTTTAAAAAATCTACTGTCTGGTTAAGAATCATGCATAAGGAATTCTCTCTTCGGTAGCTATTTA